GGACCACAGGCGCCCGCCACAACACCCGGCTATTTTTTTTGGTTGCAGCCGTCATTGTTGTTTGGCGGGTCCGGGCTGGGGATTCGAACCCGCCACCTTTGGTGTACGTGGCTGGCGCCTTAGCCGGTTGAGCCATAGGCGCCGAGCCAGAAGCATCAATCTTAAGGGTCAAAAGATCTGAGATAACTGGGGCAAGGCACTCAACCATTTCCAAGTTCACTTCTCTAACTTATAAAATGCAGGTAATATTATCTTAAAGGGCTTTTATAGACATTCAAATCAAATTATACAAATGCATGTACATTTATCATATGATTAGAGCTCAATAAATTAACAGCTTCTTTTCCTTGCTGGAATAGGGATGCTATTAATTTCAAATTGATTTTGATTATGTTATATAGACTTACCTGCTGCAAACTCCTCAATTGTCATCAGTGGGAATCGGATTAAGGAAAGTGCTTTTCCTAGAACTTTCTGTTTGTTTCCAAAAGTCACAGGCAATTGTTGTCTCTGGCATTCTGCTTCTGCCCAGCGTACAACAGCTCCAAAAAGTCTACTTTCTCGAATACTAAGTGTGTCTCTTTCTAAGACTGCACAGAGTGTGTCTATAGGTAAAATATGAAAAATAAATCAGGTTAAGAATACTTTACAATCTGACAAAGCAATACTGGCAGACATGCTTCTATTAATTTTCAAATCTCAACAAAAAATAGGTTAGATACTTATATACAGTTATAGACTCTATACTTTAAAATATTAAAAAATTAAAGGTATTGAACTCTAAAATGTTCCATAAAGAATTAGGAAAGGTTAACATTCAATTTATTTCTTACTATAAATGCAAGATTAGATATAGTACTTGCTATAGTACTATTAGCATATATAGTATCAATGCTAATATTGATGCCATTTATTAAACAAACTCAAATTTCTAGAACGAGATTAATAATACACCATAGAAAAAGGTTCCAAGTTACATAAATTCATAAAGCCTACAGTAAATGTTACCTTTAAGCACTCACTACACTCCAGGTGGTACTATTCTAGGCATTGATGTGTCATTAAACAAAAAGTTAAAAATCTGTGACCTTATGAAGCCTGTATTCTAACAGGGAGAAACAGATTAAATAGACATGATAACATATAGATGATACAGGCAGGTAAAAATAACATGTAAAGAAAATCAGAAGTGCAATTTAGAATAGGATGGTTTGGGCAGGCCTCATGTGTATCAAACTTGAAGGAGGTATGGGAGTCGGCCAAATAGATACTATAGGAAGAGTGTTCCAGGACCATCGGTGCAAAGGCTCTTGTGTGAAAATGTGCCTGGCGTATCTGAGGAAGGGTAAGGAGGACAGTGTTGCGGGTAGAATGAGGAGGCAGGAAGAGCAGATGGGGGGTGGGTTAATCATGTAGCACCCTGCAGATCTTGCGGCTTTTACTCTAATGTAAAAAGATTCAGAGCTGTGACATTTCCTATTCTGAAAATCACCCTTGCTACTGTGTTGAGAAGAGACTGTAGTGGAGGCAAAAGTGGAAGCAAAATCAGTGAAGAGGCTTTTGTATCAGTCAGAGATTATGGCGGCCTGGACCAGGAGGGTAGCAGTGGGAGTTCTGAAAAACGACCAGATTCAGCATACATTCTGAAGGAAGATTCAATGACATTTTCTAACAGATTGGATATGGAGTAGTGAAAGTGAGAGGAATCAGACTACAGTCTAAGCCCTGGAGGAATGAAAATGGCATCAATTAAGATGGGAAAGATGTGAATTTAATTCTAGACATATTAATTTGAAATCCCTATTTAACACCCCTGTATAAATGTCATGCTTCTACCTCAGGTCCTTACTCAGAATCTTCTTCCTCTTACTGTAAGCAAAATTAAAATAAACTCGGTTACTTTTATAGCCTAGAAGTGGTTAAGTTCAGGAGAGACAGAGGCTATAGCGGTCAACATATTGAATGAAATGATAAGCTGTAGTCTAAAAAGAGGGAATTTATGAAACTGGCACAAGTACATGAAAATCAAACGTGTTTTCTAAAGGTATCTGCAAAGAACTTATCTGCAAACAAAGTCACATTTTGTGGTTCTGGGTAGACATGAATTCTGGAGGAACAATATTCAACCCACTAATGTCACCTACACACAACTGTCATCTTTAAAACTGTTTTAGATAGGGGCAGCACCTGTGGCTCAGTGGGTGGGGCAACGGCCCCATATACTGAGGGTGGAGGGTTCAAACCCGGCCCCAGCCAAACTGCACCAAAAAATAGCCGGGCATCATGGCAGGTGCCTGTAGTCCCAGCTACTTGCGAGACTGAGGCAAGAGAATCACCTAAGCCCAAGAGCTGAAGGTTGCTGTTAGCTGTGACACCACAGCACTCTACCGAGGGGGACAGAGTAAGACTCTGTCTCTAGAATTAAAAAAACCAAAAAAACACCAAAATTGTTTTAAATAGAAAATGTTAGGCCAGGCATGGTGGCTTATGCCTGCAATCCTAGCACTCTGGGAGGCTGATGCGGGTGGATTGCCTGAGCTCACAAGTTTGAGACCAGCCTGAGCAAAAGCAAGACCCTGTCTCTACTAAAAATAGAAAAACTGAGGAAAGAACGCTTGAGCCCAGGAGTTTGAGGTTGCTATGAGCCATGATGCCACAGCACTCTACCCAGGGCAATAGCTTGAGACTCTGTCTAAAAAAAAAAAAAGAAAAAGAAAAAGAAAAAGAAAATTTTTTTTCTATCAAATTTATCAAATTTGAGAAAAATAATTCTCTCCATATCTGCAGGTATTACTTCTTTATTATCAAAGCTGGAGTGTCTTGTCTTCTGCCAGGACCCATGTAGGACACTTATAAGGAAATAATATTCATCCCTAGGAACCAGTATCTTGTCAATTTTACTAAGTATAGCAACTGTGTGAGAAAGGTCACACAATTTTATTTAGGAGTAAAAATTTCCAACAGTGGAAATGGAGTGATGTTTCCTGAGATAGCTCAGTCTGATACAGTTGAATAGATTATTAAAACCTTGTTTATTTATTATTTTTTAGACAGAGTCTAACTTTGTCACCCTTGGTAGAGGGCCATGGTGTCCATAGCTCACAGCAACCTCAAACTCTTGGGCTCAAGACCCTTAAGTGACCCTCTTGCCTCAGCCTCCCAAGTAGCTGGGATTACAAGTACCCGCCACAATGCCCAGCTATTTTTAGAGAGAGGGTCTCACTCTTGCTCTTAAGCTGCTCTCATGAGCTCAAGCAATCCACCTACTTGGCCTCCAAAAGTTAGGATTACAGGTGTGAGCCATCACGCTGGGCAAAACCTTATTTATTTTTTATTCAAGACCTACCCCCAATGTTTTCAGTAGAACATTGAAATGTCTTCTTTAAATGACATGTCTTTTTCCTGGCAACACTTATCAACTAGGATAATCATCATCCATTGTAAATGGTGTTTCTAAATAGTAGTTGCATGCATGTATACACATGTGCACTATATAATGTATGATGTGTAATACAGAATATATAATGTATATATGTAAATTAAATCTGTTTATACCATTAAAAAATACAGTATCCACTAATTTATATAACTCTTTAACTAATACCAACATCCTAAGAAATTTATTATAAAAAACTCTTAACAAGCCACTTAATATTAAATGTACTTTTTTTCTTTCTTTTCCCAAGACAGAGATTCACTCTGTCACCCTGGGTAGAATACCCTGGCATCACAGTTCACAGCAACCTCAAATTCCTAGGCTCCAGCAATCCTCTTGCCTCAGTCTCCTCAGTAGTGGGAATTACAGGTGCCCACCATGAAGCCTAGCTAGTTTTTTGGTTTTTTTTTTTTAAACTTTTGTAGAGACAGGGTTTCATTCTTGCTCAGGCTGGTCTCCAATTCCTGAGCTCAAGCGATCCACCTGCCTCAGCCTCCCAGAGTGCTAGGATTAAAGGGGTAAGCCACTGCACGCAGCTAAAATGTACATTATTTTATAGAAAGTTTCAAAGTAATTATCAATGGACAATTTATTAAGAAAATTATCCCAGGCTCGGCGCCTATAGCTCAACCGGCTAAGGCGCCAGCCACGTACACCTAAGGTGGTGGGTTCGAATCCCCAGCCCGGACCCGCCAAACAACA